TCGATGCTCGGTGTCCCAACACCATTCCGTATCCTTCATTAAGAAATTCGAGAATACCGTGCCATTTTCGCAGAATTCGCGCGATGCTTGTGCAAGTAGTTGGCGAGGCCAAGCCACTTGCGCAAGTCTTTTTGATTCTTTAGAACCAGCCAGTCCACAATGGCCTTGACCTTAGCGGAATTTGCTCCGAGACCACGCTTCCCAATGAAGCACCCTATAATGGGGATTTCTAACGCGCCGAAGGTGCACTTATTTGTACTATCTTATAGCTTATTCGTGTGCATGCACTTAAGCACTGCCCTAAAACGGACGATGGGGTTTCCCTCTTGTGTCCTCCCGTGCCCTCACGACTGCGGACGAAGATGTCGTCGAAGTATGTTTGTGCATGCATCCAGTGGGGCCTGAAGCGTCACAAGACGATTAAATGTTACTGGCACATTTGAAGGCCCTTGTGGCATCACGAGCCACTTCCCACTCAAAATACTCACCGCTGTCAGCGTAATATCACTCGCTCTCATCAGCAGTTGGTAATCATCATCGACCAAGTCGAGTGCGCCGTAACTTTGTACAGCCAACCATATTGTTCTGAAGATCCTCCTTCCTAGGAATCGGCGTCTGTACCTCTTTGAAGCTCAACGGAATCCGGCTCTCTCCCAGGCGTCCCGTACCTCTGGGCTCAGTGTTACCCCGAGACAAACCAGACTGGTTAGAAAAGGGACGTCGGTTCGATGAGCCTTGACGCGCCTTGCGCAGGGGGCAACCAGTCCGAAGGCGACGGTGCTTCCACAGACAAAACACTGACGGGTGGTTGAACGCTGTCTGGCGGCTCGGAGCTCTCTCTCCTCTTTCTCATCATAGCTGATTCCTTTTTCTCAGGCCCGCTCGACGAGCTCTGGCGGTATGCATTCCAACCAAGTCGCGCCGACTTAAAGATAATTCGATACTCAATGCCACATTCACCGCTTCTTCAAAGAAGACGAATGCACACAAAAGTCTTTTATTCTGGTCACGCCAGTGCAGAAGCCTTCCATAAAGACGGTCCTTATGACCGCCTAGGTGGGAGGATTGGCTGTTATCACGGCAAAAAGAGTGCGCAACTCTTGGACAGAGTCCATCAATTCCTTCTTGCCCTGTCGGGCGGCACGAAAACGCGATCGCACGCGAGATGCCTGGTTATGCGGCGAGAACAGTCGTAAAAGCTGCGGGTTCAGCTCCGTTCAGGAGGGAAACGCCGCTTCAATCGAAATGCCGCACATCAGTATCATTCGCGTTCTCGACCCTCGAGCTTGGAGATAGCTAACGCCACGCGCTGTTGCTCGTTCTGGAGCATGGCGGATGCCATAGCCATCTCGTCCTCTCTCATCCAGAGCAGGAGACTGCTGTGAGTGATTGGTGTCGAGACAGCCAAGCTGCCATGATAAAGTGATTCGCCATTACGGCTTACCAATAACTACTGTATCGGTTAGAGACCTTTGCTTTACAGCGAAGTTTAAGCAAGCATTATTCAACGTGATCGGCGCCAATATTGAATATGATTAGCTTTTACATGATTGTCAATAGACCATTCACTACCTCTGACACCACCACAGAATCGCTCAGATATTGGGGGGGGGG